TTTGAAAAGAGTCGCCATCGACCTTTGGGTTAGGTAGGTCGAATACCTAAAAACGTCTTTTAAAACAATTTTAAGGAAAATCATTTTTTAAAGACAAGATTCGGTCTGTGTTACCAAAGATTCATTTAAACGGATTCGGGAGTCGGTTACGTACGGGGAAGGGTAAACACCCCTCACAACGCCCAAAATCGGTACTTAGTCGCTTATATATCGTTGTAAATGATAGAACTTAAAGTTTGAATCAGAAGTAAAAATATGATCTATTTATTGAATATTGGTTAAAATAATAGAAATACTTCACTTGGTAAGAAATCTCAAGATTTGCAATCCTCCAACGGGAAAGCTATCTCATCTATTTCTCATCTATAAAGTATATTCTATCTTTGAATTACCACCAAATAATATCGACATGAGTAGAAAATAAAATATGCTTAATTGATCTAAAACATGTATCGTTAATATTAACATAAAAACCATTAATACAATAAAAATTATAAAAATAGAATAATAAATAAATTATGATCTATTTATTGAATATTAGTTAAAGGAAAAGAAAAAACCCTTTTCTCGACAAGAAATCCCGAGATTTGCAATCCTCCGCCGGGAAAACTATCTCGTCTATTTCTTACTCGTAAAGAATATTCTCTCTTTAAATTTAAAAATATTATCGAAAATTGACATAAAATGCATCATATGTTATTTTCCCAAAACATACATCATTCATATTAAAAATCAAGAAATAAATAAATAATAATAATAATAAAGATTAAAATTTAAAACATTAAACAATATGAACATAAAATAAAATAAAATAACAAGAATAGAATAACAGAAAAAAAAATTCATAAGCTCGTACAAAGGAAAAATTGCGCTTTCAAATCCATATTTTATTGAACGTCGTATCGGATTGCACCACTTCGGTCAAGTGATACTTTCCACGCCCGTTCCACAAATAATGCCCTTGAAAATATTCGATTGACACTAACAAATAAAAGAATACCATATATATATATATATATATTAATTAAAATGTATTTAATGAATAACGTGTACATACACGTAGTAACAAATTAAACAAGAACATGTATTTAATATCAATATGACCAACATTTACCTTGTTTATATATATACTTATTCATAAAAGAAACATAATAATACTTAATAATATACCATATTAAAATATAAAGAAATATCTACCATACAAGAATACATGAAACAATAATACATATAGGGTGCAATCATATACATTCAAATAAACATATATACCTACGGAAAACTCGAATGAACTCATTTATTATTTATTTTAATACCCATATATTAGGAATTTCGTTGATAAATAATAATATGTAACTATGTATGACTATATAAGTGAGAATAAATAAAATATCACAATTCATAGTAATATATTCAAGGACCAAAAACTAAGAGAAAGAAACAACCAGAATCAAATAGGAATAAACCCTTAACATTAAATAATAATTCAGAAACAATGACTAAAATAAATACCAGGCTAAACATAACAACCAAAACATAAAATACATAAATTTACAAACTGGTACATGAAGGACAACAATTAAATAAAATAACAGATCAAGGGCTAACAGCATGAATATACGACATTTAAAATCAGTGACTAAAATAATAAACTTACAAATTCCATGGCCAAATTTGAACACCAAGGAAAATATTCACGATATTAAATTAGTAACTAAAATGAAACATTCATAATCATGGGGACCAAAGTCAAATAATTGAAATAAAGACATAATGCATAACATGGTGACTTAAATAACAATGGAAAGAAACAAGTGCCCAAATCAGAATATTAAAAGTTTCATTCGATGACTAAGCAAAATGATTACAAAGAGTGGGGGACTAAACCTGCTATTTGCCCCTGAACCCGATGACATATAAGGGTAGGATTACAACATGCAGGGACTAAAACAACTATTAAACCTTAAAGTAAAAACACGGAAATGGGGGAGGGGCCGAAACGGTGCGTTTCACTCGGTGGTTATAAACCACTTTAAGGGTTTAGAAACCTAACCATTCTCATTTTTCCTTTCTCAGCAGCAGAATCCAACCCGTGGGAGAGAACTCTCCCTTGGCTCACCGCCGTGGGAGGCGACCAAGACTCATGTAACCGCTAATCGGTGGCCACGAAACCTAAACCGATCAACCCTCCCTCACGAACAACCTTTCCTTTGAAACCCGATCTCTAGAACCCAAACCCACAACTTATACTACCCGAAACCAACCCCCAAAACCAGAAAAACAAAGGCTTTACCTTCAGATATGGGGCTAGCTGGGATCGGAGAAGGTCACAGTGAGATTCACGGTGGTGGTTCGAGAAGGTAAAACTTTTCTTTCTTCTCCTTTTTTTTTGTTTTCTGTTTCGAATGAATCCCCCCCCTCTGTCTGGTTGCATGCTTGATTTATTAGGGGTTTTTGAATGAAATCATGAAGCCTACGGGGTATGGGAATTGTTTCTCTGATTTGGTACGATTGAATCCCGAAAAAATCGGGATTTAGAATGATATTTTAATGGGTTCACTGTTGATGACATTTTCGGATTGATTTGGGTATTTTAAATTTAGGGTTTTGATTTGGAACTGATGGGGTTACTGTGGTTTACTGTAGATGACGGTGGGGCGACGGCGGGATGTCCGGCGGTAGCTTACGCGTGTCGAAGGAAGCTGGAAAGCCAGAGGTGGAGGCTGGAGCTAGTGACATTTAGGGTTTCAAACCCTATTTGCTTTGGGCCAGATCTTGTAAACGGGTTGGGCTAGCTTGTACTAGGCTTGGGGATTGTATCTGATGGGCTTCGGGTTTGAGCCTGCAAAAATTTGTAATATATTATTAACAATAAATAAGCATAATATAATAATAATAATAATAGTTAATAATAATTAATAATAATATAAAAAAAAACCCGGACAAAAATGGGTGTCTACAGTTACATTTCAGTATTCTTATTTTCAAGGCTTAATATAAAAAAGTGTCCAAACTATATTTCACCCCAATTTTTTTGTCTAAATTTTATTCAATCAATCTAGATGGCTTAGAAACATTACCATTTTAAGTGTCTCGACCGTAATGACCACTAAAAAAGTTCGTTAAGTTACACATGTTAAATTTTGGTGATTTTGAAAATTTATTTCTAAAAAATATTTAAAATAATATTATATTTAAAATATTTCTCTAAAATTACAACAACAAAAATCTCATACCCCTCAAATCTCGAACCTTAACCTTACCATTTCCTTTTCCAGCCATGACCACCGCCGACTTTTAGGTTATTATCAACCTTGTTGTGGGTTTCACCGGGTTACGTGAATTTGTCGATTTTTTTAACATTTTTTCAAAATTTTCAAAGTTTTGGAGGAGATTCATCGGGTTCATCGAGTTTTGGGTCGTCGGGTTCGTCTTATCGTAGGTGATTAGCATGGGTATAGGGATTGGAATAAAGGTTTTCAAATTTTTGAATTTTTTTTAGATTTTCAAAAAATTTGGATTTTTTTTAAAAACTATATTTTTATTTTGTTTTAAATAAAAATTTTCAAAATTTTCTAAAAGTAACATGTGCCACTTAAATTTTTTTTAACGATCATTATTGTCTATACACTAAAAATGTTAACGTTTGTAATATTAAGCTCCTGAATTGACCGAAAAAATTAGACACCTAAATAGGAAAAATAATATAAATTGAACATTGTTTTATATTAAACATATTTTCAAATATAATCTCACATTTCATGAACCAAACATCTTATTTCAATGAATTACATAATCAACACCAAATTCAAATAATTTGGCAAAAATCTTTAGGTTCAGTAAGCATGATATGATATTCACAAATTTATATAGATCTTGAGATTTGTATAAATTTGATGAATTTTTTATTAAGCTAAAGTTGATTATAAAATAATATTTATTTTAGATACTTTTAATAATTTGATAACGAACACTCAATCAATCTTATAGTTGGTGACGTTTAACTCGTGGTTTTAAGAATAACAATATTTTTTTTCAATAATTGAGTTAAGTTGCTAAATTTGATGAATTTGGTTTTGGCATAAATGGGGTTGAGTTGCACGTGCAGGGTCCCTCCCCGTGCTGTCAGAAGTGTTGTCCTTTTTGTCGATTTAATAATGATTTCATTGGATCTAAATTCTAAGGTGGGCCATAGAAATATAGAATAATAATCTTTTTACTTTTTAAGTTTTAAATGAAAACGACAAGATTGGTGTGCACCAATAAAAGTATTTTGGGTAAACTATAATTTAGTATCTAAATTATTACTTTTATCTTATTTTGATACTTCAAATTTTGTTTTTTAAAAAATTATGCCTAACGTTTATTTTTTATTTCGCTGTTAAAAAATTAATGGAATTGTTTTAGGTAATATTTTTATGGATAAATGGCATCATTCATCACTCTATTATCTTTTCACTCCTATTTTGATCATTGAACTTTAGATTTTTTTAGTTTAATTACTTAATTTTCAAATTACTCCTAATTTAATCATTCTAAGTTTCGAATTTAATTCTTTTTCTTTTAATTATATATTAATAAAATAAGAATAAAAATATCATGTCGCAAAAATTATTAATAAAATAAATTAGAACGAATAAAACATAAACAATTTGAAAGGTGAGTAATTAAATTAAAAATTATTAAACTTAGTAACGAAAATAAGAGTGAAAATATAGTTGATGATATAATTTATATATAAAAAATGCCACATACTACAGTTATGGTAAGCTTTTAACAACATATTACTAAAATAAAACTTAAACTAAACGTTTTAAGTATGATTAAAAAATAAAATTTAAGTACTAAAATAGAATAAAAATAATAGTTTAAATATTAAACGTATATTATACCCAATTATCATAATATATCATATAGAGATTGAAATTGCCAACTACTTGGTTTAATAACTTGAGAGACAAGAAAAACAAGTTTGAAAATAAAGAAAAGAAAGCTGAATCAAACTATTTTTTGTCTTTAACATCACACGTTGAACTCGGTTCTTGTGTTTCTCATCTAACACAAAGCTTCCTTCATGGCATCTGGGATGATGGATCTCTTCTTCAGTGACCGTTGGCAATGGCACCGTTCTCACAAGCAGAACAATCCTCATCCTTCTTTGCATAAAATCTCCGGTACATGGAATCGACTTCTGTCAGGTAGTATGTTCCCGGAGGCAAAAGGCTACAATCTTTGCTTGTCACATAATCCTTGGCTCCATATCTGTGCTCCATCAGCTTCATAGTCTCAACGAACTTCTCAGGTGAAAACTGCAGAAAACACCCTCTATTACAATCTTAAAATTCAAAACTCACGCGTAGAATGACCAATGAGTTTTGCACTGCTGTATGTCTCTGGTTTTTCAGATATATGGCAAAGAGTGGTTTTATCCGGGCTAAAACGAGAAAGTGCAAGAATTACCTCATGCCTCGACTTCAATTTCCCAGCGACATTCATCACTGTTGCGATATTAGATAGGCTAAATGGATGTTGACCTTCTTGAAGTCGCGATGAAAACATTGTGGAAGTCAAACCACTTCCGTAGGAGAATAATATCACCCGCTTTCCCGCCTGTGTGTTGTTAAATATATCATATGTAAATGGATATAGAACAGAGATGGCAGATTTTCATTTTTCTGTCAAAAAGGATGAAACGATTACCAGTTCACTGTTTTTGTTGTGAATAAGGGATGCAAAGGCAGCATAAAGAGATGCAGTATACATGTTTCCGACTTGCTTCGGTATCAAGGTTGTTGGTTGCACCTTGGCATCGTAAAGGGCCTTAGAAACTTGTTGGGATACCTGCAAATGCATGATAATGAATGGTGTCGGCATGAAATTCTACGACATCAAATCTTAAAACGGTTTTCAGTAATGCAATTTTCTGATGAAGCAATCGTATTACGGATATAAAGTTCCACTATACCGGTTGCCGAACCCAAAAATACACTAACAGATCAAGCATGCCAAATGAAATAAAACAGGTATCAACCAAAGCTAACATAAACTAGTTTTTCTCATATTGATGCCTCCAAAATCTGGTAAAAACTAGGAATTATTAAGAAAGTTCGAAATAGACCTTTTCAAGATCCCGGCTTTGGTAGCTTTCATCACCGGTCAAAGTTGAAAAAGGACCCAGCTTTTCTTTAGTAAAGTCATCAACAGAGCTACAAAATTATGTAATCCAAGTAAATAACACAAAACAGAGAAGACACAGTAAATAGAATCTTTGAAGGCAATCAAAGAAAAGGAAAAACCTGACATTCCTCGTGAAGTCGTTGAACACTAAACGAGCAAAGCTTTTCTGCACAAGCTGCAGAAGTTCAAATGGAAAATTATCAGGGGCATTCGAAATATACCGTAGTTAATAGAAAAGTATTTTATCGGTTTATCAATAACCACAAAACTTAGCTACCTTGTTATACGGAGAATGGAATACAATGTAGTCGGCATCAGAAAGGGAAAATTGTTTGCCCTCTAGTTTCTCATACCTGCAGCCACATGCATTGGCATTATAGAGCATAATTAATACAAAAGCCATGATTATAAAGAAAACAGAACATATTGGCCTAAACAAATAAACGGAAAATACTTCCCAGTACTTTTGCAATGACTTACTTGTGACAGAAATATTTGTAGCAAGTATCAAGGGCCATGAGATAGTATGTTTGAGAAAGTTTCCCGTCAACAACCTACAAGTGCATGTCGATAGATAGAGTCATTATAATTGTTTACTAAAACACTCATTCTGAAATTTTTCCTTGAAACTTCATCATACATGACTCTAATGATGTAATCAATTACTTCCTATAAAAGTAGGGAAAGAAAACTTTAGAGGCGATTAGGTCGCATTACCGGATATTCACTAGCAAGGTCGGGCTTGTAAAAGTCGTAGACATGGGACATATGGCTACCCCTAAATTTGCTTTCAAAAGCAATAGGAGCATCAGGTCCTATTAGCATGGCAATTGCAGCTGCTCCTCCGGTAGGCCGAGCAGGTCCTTCTGCATAGATCTGAAAAGCAAAAGTCGGGTAAGAAAAACAAAAGGAAAGGGAGGAAAAAGAAGTAAAAACAAAAAATTGACCTTATAAACAGGAGTGGGAAAAGAATAGGGAAATTTGCAACTGGATATCACTATTATGAAGTAACAGTACAGGAATTGTGCATACCGCACTGTCGGTACAAACAACAAGACCATATCGTCCATCCCATGAACTACTTTCCACCCAATTGACACAATTGAAGAGAGCTGCAGTCCCTCCATAGCATGCATTACTTGAGTCGACCCCTTCAATGTCAGTGTTTCCAGATTTCTGCTTGTTTAACATAAGAGCAAAGTGTGAGGAACAGGGCATTTGATTCTAAATCAGAATTTTCAAGTTATTCAATCTGATATATGGATTGTCACCGATACAGCCTCTAGCTCTGTTCACTAATGTGTCTACGAGTAATACAGCTGCAATAAAAGCGGATCAGCCAAGGGATTTTCCCAAGAAAAAGTTCAGGTCAGAATCAGCTGATAGATTAAAGCCATTAAAAATGCTCCCAAATAATGCCAGCAGCTATCATTTTCAACTGCCATTTTTCAGCAAGGGGCTACTATCCTTGATATTTTACCTATCTAAGATGAAGAAAGGGACAACTATCCTAGATAAGAAATCATGCTGATTGGGAAGAGTACCTCAAAGATTTGCATCAAGAACGTCTTAATGGACTTGCTTTTGTCTATCACGGTCTCACTACCAACTTCAAGACGGCCGATTTGTTTGGGGTCAATCTTATACTTTTCAAGGAGTGAAGTAACAGCTGTCAAACTGCAAATCGAAGGTAATGAATTAGTAAAATAGAAGTGTTCATCTCCGCCAAACAATTCAATCGTTTGTTATCACATATACAAACGGTAAAACAGTATTAAGTGATACTATCATACATACTAATAGCATATAAGAAGAGCAGATATAAAATGCAGAACTGCTAACCTCATTGAGATAACATCTTCCACTTCAGTGCAGAAGGCCATGCAATCTTGTCCCAGTCCAATGGTGTATTTTCCTTTGCTAGCCCCATCATGAGCCTCCAATGCCTCCTGTTTTGTTGGTCAAAGAAAAGGAATACAATTTGAAAAGTGATGATAATGTAATCAGCTGGATTCATGAAATCAATCTCATATTATATGATCAATTTAGTACAGTCCAACCGTGAATAGTGATTCTCCTTTGAAAGAAACAGCAACAAAGATTTTTTATGATGATTCCAAAAATGAAAACTTTGAATAAATAACATATTAAACAAAAATCCATCATTCTACAACCAAAAAAGTATCCATAACCACATGATCTCGCAAACTAGAATTTTCCCAGAAAGAGAAAATTCCATCAATTCATAGAGGTTAAAAAACACAGGTTAAAAACACACACAAATACCCACACAAACTCTGGGATGAACTTTTCAGATAAACAAATAAAAACTTTGAAACAAAAAACCCAAAAAATATCTGCAGACAATTAGAATTCCTCTCAACCAGTCAATTTTGCGCCGGCTTAAGAAAAACAAATATATATTCTACCCATTTTCTCACTTGTCTCAGCTATGCAACCAGAACCTAGATCCCATAATTTTTTTAAAAAGAAGATGAAGATCAGAAAGAAGAGAAAGGGAAGAGATGATGTTTCCTGTTGAACACAGGTAGGAGGGAAGTAGATTTCCATAGCAAGAATTCCCACATTCTTGGCCATTTCTCAGTCTAACTAGCAAGCAAAAAGATCAGCTACAACAACAAGAAGAAGTTGCTTCCTTTCTGTTAAAAAAAATATGTTTTACGTTCTGTGTTTGTGAAAAAGAGTATTTTTTATCACCGAAACTCGCAGAGAACCGTTGATGGGGAAATCACATGCCGTGTTTTCCAGTATTTATAGGCAAAGTGCAGATTTAATGAATTTGGAGATCTCGCAAGGCGCTCTCAATCTGATGTTTACTTTCTTACCACTCCTTACCATACATACATATGAAAAAAAAAAGGACAGTCATTTGTGTTTCTTCTACCCCTTCTTTTCATTTATTTATGGTTCTTGCCATCATGTCAGGTCGGATATTGGTATTTTTCACTTTTTTTTATTATTTTAAAAAATATTTTTTTAATTTAAAGCTGTAAATGAGATAAGATAAATTAATCTGGATCGAATATTGAATGGCGATCCTTTCAATTCAGTTTACTTCATTCATAAACATTATAATTCAAACGTCTGACCTTGAGGATTTAGTGTTTCATCATATTAAAAGAACTAATTCAAGGATAGACCGAAAGAGGTAATGAGGTGCGATCGCACTCTTAAAAATTCTGTAATATTTTAGTTTTTTTATTAAAATTTTATAACTTTACAATTATAATATTTTAAGTTCACACCTTATAACATAAATTTCTACGTTCATTCTTGAATTAATTTTTCGCTATTGGTCACATTTTTAAAAAAAAGAAAAAAAGTTCATTTTTCGGTTAATTGATTTTGCCAGCATTTCATGTCCCCTTTCCTCCCCTTTTGTTCATCTTCTATTTGAAAGAAAAGCGAATCTAAAATCTAACACTGCATTTACAGGAAGAAAGAATAAATGTTATTGATTTTGAATATTATTATTTTTATATGAAATTATATTAATCTTTTAGTTTAAAATGTTAGTTTATATTATTATTTTTAATAATATGCGGTGATTATAAGATATTACATGTTTAGAACTTTTTTAAAGTATTGATAATGCATATATTATGTAGATTTAGTTGTTCGAACTCAAAACATTTAAAGATAACAATGTTATTTTTTATCATTGAAGTGACTTTATATTAATATTTTTTATGTTAGGACAATTAAACATTGCATAAAATTTTAATTTATCCATGATTCTTGTTTTCTCTTCGCTTCGCTTCTAATCAACTGGATTAAAGTTAATTTTTAATATATGAATTTAAGTATGAATTGAAATTATATATATAATTTATATTTAAATTATTTATATTTTTTATCCTTAAATTAAAATATATTAAGAGTTTTTTTGAATAAATATTAAGAGGTTACATATATTTAATTTCACTTCTTTTTATATGTTATATAAAAATGATACTAGTTAAATTAAATATAATTGATATAAATTGAGACCTTTCAATTTTAATAAAAAATAAAAAGTATAAATTAAATGTCGATAAGATTTATGTTAATATTAAACTTTAAAATACTCAAATTTAAGTAATTCGATGGAGTTAAACCAACTTAATTCGGTAATGAAATGGAATTCGGTAATGATATTTTCTATCATTAAATAGGGCAAAATAATGTTCTGGTAATATGCATTAATAACGTTTGTTGACCTAAAATCTTGGGTATATGATTTTGATAATTATAATGTTTTATCTATTATATATATATATATATATTTAAACCAAACTTTAATTCATTTTAGTATCGAGATTAGTTTAAGTGGTAAGCAGTTTGATATTGCTTAAGATCTCGAGTTCGAGTTTTTATATATGAAGAAAATTCTCATTGAGAGACTTACCTGCCAAACCCAAGTGTATGACCCGGATTAATCAAAGCAAAATCTTAGAAGCCAGAAGATTAGAAAAAACCCAATTCAATTTTTATTTATTTATGGATAGATAGTAAATAAATAAATAAGAAATAACAAAATTGTTTGAATTTGCAAATCAAATGAATCTCATAAGAAAAACGTTATTTCGGCATTCAAAATTGACAGCACTATGCTAATTATTTTATAAATAAATAAATAACCAAATATATAGTGTTGAACGGCCCACCCTATACAATGTCAACAAACTTGAGTTGTTGAGAGTTGAAATTTAGAGTTAACTTTCTTTGAGCTTGAAATTTAAAACTTTGACTAATTTTATATTTTGTGATCTTGCTATCAAGTTTTCTTGAAATTATTTTTTAAAGTTTATTATATATAATATCTTTTCGGGTAAAGTACACAAATGATCCCCGGCTATATTGTGTTATTTTATTGAGTCTCTCAACTATCAAAAGCTACAAAATGATCCCCTAACTATAAATCATAATTTTTTTGAGTCCATCGACTGTTAAAAGTTACAAAATGATCACTGAATATTCATATTTTCCAAACTCATATTTTTTCGTTAAAATTCATGGTCGTTTGAGTCGGACGTTAATATATTTATATTTTAATTTTGACCTAAGAAATTAGAACAAATTTTAATATATTTACCAAATAATCATTATATATATATAGTATTTAGACAAAAAAATTGACACGTCTCGATTCATTATTATTTTTAATAAATACAATACTTTTTATGGATTTTTTACTTTTTTTATAATATGAGCTAAGTATAAGATAATATACGTTCAAAGACAACTCTCAATCATTTGACATTAAACACTTATACTCCTGATATTCTTACCAAATAATCCCCTAACTATAAATCATTGTTTTGTTGAGTCCATCGACTGTTAAAAGTTACAAAATGATCACTGAATATTCATATTTTCCAAACTCATACTTTTTCGTTAAAATTCACGGTCGTTTGAGTCGGACGTTAATATATTTAAATTTTAATTTTGACCTAAGAAATTAGAACAAATTTTAATATATTTACCAAATAATCATTATATATATAGTATTTAGACAAAAAAAAATTGACACGTCTCGATTCATTATTATTTTTAATAAATACAATACTATTTATGGTTTTTTTACTTTTTTTTTATAATATGAGCTAAGTATAAGATAATATATGTTCAAAGACAACTCTCAATCATTTGACATTAAACACTTGTACTCCTGATATTCTTGTTGCTTAAACTCAAGACATCAAAAACAATAACAATTCTTTTTAAGATTCGTGTTTTTTTCACTTTCATGTATGAGATGATAATCCTTTTTGTTAAATATTGTTATTCCTCTAAGTTATATATTAATAATAAAAATGTATAATTTAAAGAATGATTCATTATAATAGTTTTTCGTATAAGAAAGTAGGGCCCAGGGGTAGTTGGGAAATTTGGGTCAAGCATGTCAGAACGTGACTATGCTTCAGACTGCACGTGGACACGTTGCCGTATTTTACTTCCTTTTATTTTTTCATGATAAAACAATAATACCGTGGATAATAATAACAAATGTGTTTCTTTTCTTTTAAATAGGTTGTTTGTTTCTTTTAAAATTGTTTTCAGTGTTAGCAATTAAAATGTACATTAAATAAAGGCTTAATTTAGGTGTCAATTATATTTAAAGTTAATTTAGGTGCCAAAGATTTTTTTGTGTTAAAAATAGGTGTTTAACGTTTCAACGTTACACTTTTAGGCGTCTGAATTATTACTATCGTTAAATTCGGCTGTTAACTGACACGTGTTAGATATATAAAATTTTATTTTTTCTAAATTTTTATAAGCTTGACATGTTTCACTTAACAGCCGCATTTAACGGCAGACACTAAAAGTGTAACGTCAAAAACTTATTTTTAACAAAAATATTCTTTAAGTACCTAAAGTTAACTTTAAATATAATTTGGACACTTATTTTGCGTTAAGTCCTAAATAAATGACGACGTTTTCAATATGGTACTTTTTAATCTAATTTAATTTTGAATTTTTTCATGTGATGGCATCATTATATTTAAGGATAGATATGAAAAATACTTTTTAAGATATATATATATATATATATATATATTAGTAATAATTCTTTTTAATATAGACACAAATCAAATTTTAAGATAGTCACTATCAATAAAATAAATAGCTAATATAAAAAAATTCAAATTTCAATATAAGTAACAACTCACCCTGAAGCTCATTTACATCCGTTGGTGATTATATTGCTCATTGTCTTATCTTATTTTAATGGGTTTAATTTTAAACAATTTTTATTTAGGAGAAGAGATTTTACTCCTAATGAATATTTAACTCACAATATATAAGAGAAAGAGGTGTCAATTGAGAACATTTAAACACATATTCTAAAAATTGTTGATAATTTTAAACATTTAAAAGGGAGATAAAATATTTATGACGTACTATTAGATCTACTCATAGATTAATTTATAAACTCTAAGTTAAAAATTTATGGTATATTTGTAAATAAATTTGTTTGAGATTAAGTAAATTCGGTTGGTTAGTTATACTGCTTATTTTTATACCCTTATATTCACTTAAGATTATATTTAGAATTTATGAAAAATATTCGGCGTAAGATTGTTTAAACCTTATTTAATAAACCATTTTAATTTATATATTGTCCCATTGTTATAAAATATTTATTATATTATTATTTTTTATGTAAAATATTTAATTTCTCTTTAATTGTGTCACACCCTTAGAACCTTCAAGCCCAAACTGTCGCAAAATCAGAACTAAGGTTTGACATGACGTGCGGCCTTAGACCCTCCTTGACACTTTTGGTTCGTTTCTGCGACTAATTAAGCCTTACCCAAGCCTCGTGAGCATGCAGACTCACTAAAGGCTGGAACCAAACCCCCAAGGCTTCGACAGATGCAGAAGTTTTAACACCAACGTGGCCACTCAAGCCACCAATGTTGGACTATGGTGTGGAAGTGCAAACACAAGTGTGGCTATTCCTAGCCACCAAGAGAGGCAACAACACAAAGATACGTAAGAACAAAGAACACAAAGAGATAATGCCTCATAGCTTTATTACTATCCTAAGAGAATGAATAAATAATATCATTTACTCTATCTCTTTGTGTTCTTTGTTCTTAAGTCTCTTTATATTGTTGCCTCTCTTGGTGGTTACGAATAGCCACACTTGTGTTTGTACTTCCACACTATAGTCCAACATTGGTGGTCTGAGTGGCCACGT